AGTATAGTCCGTGGATTGGTAACGAGTTAAAGGGGCACTTCCAGTTAAGCCTAATTTCACAACAAATTTACTTTCTGGATTAAAATTACAATGGATAACAAAAGATAGATTAACTTTGTAAACAACATAAACAATAGTGTCCAATGATTCTTTGGTGCTTGGGATTGAGCGGTTCCTCTTTAAGCCGAAATAATTTAAATAAAATATTCGACAAAGGAAATGCACATGATCTTATTTCCCTAAACATATGCTATATGACAGGGCCATCTCTCTACCAAATTGCAATTTTATGCGCTATCCTGGCGCGAACACAGACACCTGCGGGACCCCCCTCCCCAAGTTGCATTCGAAAGTGAATGAATGACCTGTCCACTGAGTTTGTAGCACACTCATCCAGGGTCAACCTTTTTGGTGTTCAACCTAGGGTAGGATTTGAACTTAGGTCTACTGATCATGAGTCTGATGATCATTTCGCACTGTTTACGAATCATTGATACGATATCTCAGCTTAAAATAACATTCCATGGTTTGGCGCGTAACATAAATAAAGTCAAGTAGTTGAAATACACAAATGCAAACAATTGTAAGTTTTTAGCGGTGTACGTAAAACAGGATTTGTATGGTTGTACAGCATATCCAAACTCGTCTCTTGACTGTAGTAGTAGGCGTGTGATACGACCTTGTTTTAAATTGCTACTTTTATTACTGAGCGTGGGCTATGGCGCTGTCAGTGGCTTGAAACCAGCTGAATTTCACAGGCCAAACTTGGTTTTGGTGATGACGACAGTGTATACATTATGAACGTAACTGTTACATCTTGTAGTTATATTCACAAATCTTTGTCCAAATTAATGTTATCTACATCGACGTGCGTTTATTTAGCCACATCTTGCTGAAACACGAATTTATTACTTTTCGTGTTTGGAGTCCCTGTAGCGCAAGGAAGCGATCAAACACTAAATAATATTTAGGCAATAATAGCTCCAGTGCAACCATGCCAAGGCTAAACCCGAAGGCATAAAAAGCACTACAAATTACCGAATCTGATTACGTTGTTTACGCAATTTCAACAGATGAGTTGTAGAATGTATTCACATCTGTAGCAGTCACGACCCAGTATTAAACAATCTTCATGGAGAATGTGGATAACTATCGATTACTATACTGTACCTAAGCATTTTAATTGGTACTAATATGTTACCCCACTTCTGCTGAAAAACGGTATTGAGTACGGTAGCAAATGGGGTCAGTTTTGAATGTTCTCAATTTAATTCACACTTGTTAACCAACATTGATTTAAGCTTGGTCTTGGAATATAGAATATCTTGATTCTATTGCCATATCACATAAATATGAAATGTTCATAAAATGTGGAATAACATTTTCATATTGTTACAGGTGAATTTTTGAGGAAGAATCACTTATACAATACTACAGAATGGGTTACCTGTCTTTCTGCATTTCATAATGATATCTTGGGCAGTCATGGTGAAAACAGGTGTGTATAACCTACATTTTGGCGGTAATGACAAATATGAATATTATTCATGAGCTATACATGCAAGAATTCGTTATGTTGTCAGGTTTCCTCAACACCTATGAACTCTCTAATTCATGTTTTTTTTGTCAAGATGGCGGACCAAGTCGAATGAATGCAGTTTTCTCTCCGCTCTGTTATTATGAACCAACTGATGATATTACAAGTTACACGGTTAGTGCACCATAGATACCTTAGAAACAGAATGTACCTCGGATGGCACAGAGTTAATACCAAATAAAATAATTCGTTCATGTGTGACATTTTAGTCAAATTGTTATGAAAGTATGTAGTAAGGGTAAATGTGTACTTTGAGTGACATTTGATTTGAATATCGCGTTGGCATGTTGTATAGCTGGCTCCTAAAACAGCATTTATATTTTCATTCAAAAGAAAACAAGGCCGCACACATAATTTTGCAGATCTTTAATATTTCAGGACTTTGTGATTATCAATTATAATGGGGGAAATTTATACTATGGTCTATACTCCATTATACCTACCGACAACTGTAAGTACTACATAATATAATAATTATAAGTTTCCAAGTGATTATTCTATGACGTCATGTTTTAATATGTGTAATAGCATCTCAGTAATTATTAAGGAGACTTTGAGTTTAATTCCGTGATCGGCGTTTCAAAAAATATAACATTAAATAATATGATCACATATTGTGAAATTGTCGTTCAGCCAGAGGAGGCGCTCGTCGGTACATGTATATTCTTGTAATGTTGTTGGAACGAGCAGCGGATTGCCGCTTCAAAGTTAAACATCCTCTCAAAGGACAGTTCTGTAGAAATGTGGGCATATCTGACAACTGTAATTGTAAGTCAATTGTATGCATACATGAGTTTAAGTTCAGATGTTGACATTGATTGATGCATGGTCGCCGTCGTCGTGTCATTTTACCTTGAGTCTTGCTTGCTAATAAAACCCC